TTAATGCAGGCTGTAACATGCAATGGATACAAGACATTACTCTACATAATACCACTGGTTATTGGTTGAGATATAAATGTTGTTGAGTTATTTTTGTTTGCTTGGTATCTATTTGAAAGAAAAGTTTCAGTCCATCGCGATAGAGGGCTAGCAATTCCAAAATTGTTGATTAGGAGTTTATGAGGTGCCTTATCAGGAGCTTTCGTGATGTCGAAAAGTAGTATAACCACTAGTTCTTTGATCAGGTACGTGAGTGACCGCTTTAAAGAAGTCGGCCAGGCATGTGCTACGGAACCTTGTTTTAATGAAGCCGTTCTGCGACGGGATGACTAGACCGTCCTTGGATAGATGGTCAGTTAATTAATTCTGTATCACTTTCTCCATTATGCCTGATGTAATTGGGGTGATATTTATAGTTCTGTAGTTCTTGATTAGGTCTTTCTGTCCTGATTTGTGTTTGGGGACTACTTACGTTACCTTTCAGGTTTCAGGATATGTACCTGCCTCCAAGGATGATATGACTATTTTGAGATATGGTGTTTGCATGTCAGACCCTGCCATTTTGTCATCTGCACAGAACATGTGATCGACTTCAGTACTTAGATGGCAGCGTGTATACTACGTTGATGGTACTAAGATTATCTGTGCTGATACGCTTGATGTCAATATCTAGGGCGTAAAATTTAGCCCCATTGTGGAAAACTATTCACTTGACAGTTCGCATATGACAGTTTAGTAATAATGTGTCTCGCCAGCGTATAGTATGGGGTGAATGTTATGATCTGCACTCTTTCTTATGTGCGTTTCAAGGAGACGACATAAGTTTTCGGATTGGCGCAGGACAACTAATTCTTTTGACATAATATACGTCAGTTTTAATTTTCGTAGCTGAGTCTTATCTTTTGGTTGACATAAGGAGTTGTTTTTTAAAAGCTATTTTCAGGGGGGATACTAGTGTAAAGTGTGGATTTCGTGAGGATATTGAATATTTCTAGTGTTTCTGAGAGCTTAACTCAATGGAAATCTGCTAAAGTCAGTATATCTTTTTAAAACTTTAAAGTTAACACAGTCAGTGTGTGCATAGTTCGTGCGTTGAAAACGGATGGGTACCGTCTTGGATTTGTCGCATGTTGCAAGAAATAGTAGAGAAGCCTAGTACGCCAGATACCTGGATACTTCCGATGAGAAATAACAAGTGATATGTTTAAAGAAGAATTTTCAGCTGAACAAACCGTGCATTTACAGTACTGTTCTCACATACAGACACCTTTTCACCTAACTTGGATTCCTTCTCAAAATGTGTACACGCTTAAGTCCGACGGCTTACAAAAGATGCTCGAAGCCTAACTCGCATTGGCTTTGTATGTTCTGCTGTACGGATAAAAAGGTACTAATTCAGGAGGCTATGGGCCTATTGGCTTTGGCCTGCAAGAAAAACGATGGCGGAAGCACTGATAACAGGAGCACTGACGGTGAAGAATGTGTCAGTGTAGTAAGTGCTGCTACTGGACTCGTTAAACACCTGACTGTGGTTGACGGGAACGTGAAGTCTCCGTTAACATTAACGAGGAATGAAGTGCCGCTTGATATTGACATCCGCAGTCATACACCTCTAGTCGAAATAGAAGATTCGGATAAAACTGTCACCGTTCCACATAGTCCAGGTGTGGCTGTCCTGAGTGGTGACAAATGGAATTCAGTAAGGAGAAAAAGAAATGGGAAGAAAAAGGCTGTGGGCAAAACGCAGCTTGTCAGCAAGGCATTGGAAGGGATTTTATCAGAAGAAGAATCCTCACTGCGTGACAAGACAGATCTCTTTGAGAGATCAGTCATTTTTCATAAGATAAGATAATCTTCAGATACAGAACCAAAGGCAAGAGTTGAACACGATCTCAATCATATTAAGACATCATTAAGTAAACTACTCCCATATACAGTTTCGGGAGTTAGTATTTGTAAGTTTTATAGAATACGAAAAAAGGTGGATTCCGGAAGTCCTCAGAAAAACCGCCTCCTAAAGGTTACACTCAACACGGTGGAAGAAAGGAACCTGATTCTAAGTAATTAACGTAAACTGATCGGATTCAGAATATACGTCCATGAGGATCTCAGCCAAGCTGATCGTATTAAGAGACGAGCTTCAGAAGTGTAAATAAATGAGCGTCGCCAAAACGGTGAAAGAAACCTCGTTCTTAAGGGTTTTCAAATTGTAAAAGTTCGGAGCAAAACGATCCCCAAGCCACTCTGGGTGGCAAGGGAAAGTTCTCCACAGACTTAAAGGTATGCTACACAAATTCTCGCAGCCTTCTAAATAAAATGGTGGAGCTCAAGTCAGTGGTCGATAAAGAAAAACCGGATGTTATTGCTGTTTCAGAAACTTGGTTGACGTCAGAAGTATTAGATAGTGAAATGCAGTTGAGTGGTTTTTTAACCAGTAGGGCTGATAGATTAAACCGAAGGGGAGGCGGGGTTATTCTGTACACGAAAAGTACCCTAACCATAAGATTAACTGAAACAGTAGCACATGCTTCAGGGACATGTGAACTAGTGAGATGTAAGTTGAAATGCCGACGGCAAGATATTGAAGTAGTTGTAGTTTATCGCAGTCCAGAATGTGTAGCAGATGATTTTCGCCTAAGTAAACTTAAGTCCTGGTGTAACAACGGTAAAAGTCTTGTAGTAGGCGACTTTAATGCACCATATATAAACTGGGTTAACTTAGAAGTAGGGTCAACGATATCGTCGTTCGACTGCAAACTGTTAGAAACCTCGGTTGGACTAGCATTATTCCAACACATTAGAGATCTCACAAGATACGATTTAAGAAACTCTTCTTCTCTTCTAGATTTAGTCTTCACACACGGTGATGACGTTGGTCAAATGGCTTTTCTCCCACCACTTGGGAGAAGTGACCATGGAGTCATCTTACTCAAATTCATGGTTGAGATTGCCTGTCAAGCAGTTGCGCCGGCCCGTCCTAATATATGAAAGACAGATATGCAGGCAATCAACTCCACAGCATCGGCTGAAAACTGGGAACTTGAATCAAGGGCATCAGTACAAGAGGCATGGACTCTATCCAGACAGTTATACAATCAGGCAACTCAACCATAAATACCCTGGACTATCCCAAAGAAAAGAAGCACGGACATCCCTGGATAGGACGGGATATTCGACGTTTACTAAGACAAAAGAATAAATGCTGGGATGTTGCCATCCGCCTTGGCACAGCAGGTACGATGGAACGCTACAGATCGATAAGAAACGAGTGTATAACGAAAATTCGGGAAGCTCAAAGAAAATATGAAATGCAGCTTGCACAATCTGCACTCAAGCAGCCCAAGAGGATATTCTCGTACATAAACTACAGAACAAGGATTCATCACTGGATTCCCAACCTAATTAAAGTAGGAAGTGAATCTGAAATCATAGAGTAAGATCAGGAGAAAGCAGAGGCTTTGGCTGACTATTTTGGGGCAAAGAACCAGACCTAATTACAGAGTCAACAAACCAGCTGCTCACCGTGGACTTCGACCATAACCATGTGCTTAAGGCTCTTAGCACCTTAAACATGGAAAAGTTAACAGGACCAGGTGAAATACACCCCAAAACCTTGAGACATATTGCACAATATATCGCGGCCCCACTGACTGTGATATTCAATATGTCACTTGGTCAAGGTGTGTTACCTATGGACTGGAAGGACGCAATCGTCACTCCCATACATAAAACAGGTCTACGACAAGTTCCATCGAATTACAGACCCGTAAGCCTCACCTGTGTGGTAATTAAAATACTGGAAAGAATAATCAAACGGACCATAACGGCATTTATGAAAACCAATAACTTGTTAAACATGACACAACATGGTTTTAGAAAGGGTCTATCCTGTACAACAAACCTCCTTATAGATAGGGAGTTCTGGATTAATGCGCTAGACAACGGAAACTCAGTGGATGTTGTCTACATAGATCTCAGTAAGGCTTTTGACAAGGTGCCAACTAATAGACTGCTATTGAGGTTGGAACACCTTGGTATTTCCAGACCTCTTTTAAAATGGATTAAAGATTTCCTAGTAGGTCGTAGACAAAAAGTAAGAATAAATTCCAAATGCTCCATCTGGAGACCAGCACTTAGTGGAGTACCCCAAGGTTCCGTCCTAGGTCCTTTACTTTTTATAATGTACGTTAATGATCTTACAAGTATAGTACAGTCTCCAATGTTATTATACGCTGACGATGAAAAAATCTGGCTTGTAATAACTGGAGCCACAGATGCATGTGCCCTAGAGGGAAGCTACCTGTGCAATCCCAGGACTCCGGGGTTTACTATACAAAGAGCAGTTTGAAAAGCTGGACCTCTTTACTCTGTCCTATCGCAGATTAAGGGGGATCTAATTTTGATGTACAGAATACTGAGAAATGATTTCCGACCTAGCTTACTCTCTCTTTTTCTTCCCGCTAGATCGGGACATCTCAGAGGACATAGCAGGCGATTAGAAAAGCCAAGAACGAACAAAATACCTGTGGCATACAGGATTTTAAACCTCTTCATCAATACTTGGAACCTGCCGCCCGAAGCAGTGGTGTCCGCACCTTCAATTGACTCTTTCAAGAGAAGACTGGACACTCACAGAAGCATACTAGAAAAGGAATAACATAGGCCATAGGCCTTCTGTCCTTACTACATAAATCTGAAATCTGAATCTGATGTATATATATATATTCGAAATCCATTCTCGTAGTTGAGTCATTGGATCCCGTTATTCACTAACACGATTTAAGTTAGTGATTATTTACGAGGAAAGCCTGGATGTATATTTCGTCAACAATCAGCATGCAATGTAGATGGAGTCAGATACAGGGTCACTAAAAGACATAATTTTCCGATTATCTTTTCTCTCAAAAGGTATTTTACTGTCTGAGTAACAGGTTTTTCTTCTAGGTTTCGAGTGGCTGTATTAAAAGTTATTTCTTTCAGTAGTTAAACAATTTATCTTCGTTTGTTTTAGTTGATCTTAAATGTGGTGAAAGGTTCGAATCTTCCAAAATGGGTTCTGAGGATAATGTCAAGAACTTTGAGAAGATTGCAGTAGACCCAGTATGTTTTGCAAATATCCATCATAATAGCTATATTCGAAATATGGTCTGCTTTGTGTTTAAAAACTATTATTAGTGGCTCAGTACTTTAATTTTTTAATTTCGGTATCTACACAGTGGCCCGTCCCTTATTTATCTTCGTCAACTTAAGGAGAATCGTTCATAATAAAGACTGACGCTTCATCTAAGCTATCCCAAGTTTTGGAAGATGACAAACCTGCTGTCTTTGCACTTAAGAAAAATTACTTGTAATATAACTCGTTTTCTTATCGGTTGACTTCCATCACATGTATTACTTAAATTTTCATGTCCTGAATCATTTCTCACGAGCGACCCGATTGTAACGAAAAGTGTGGCCTGACGCATTGTGTTAAGCTTTCTACCTAGAGTGTTTGGTTGCTCTCTGGTCGTCGATATTAGTCTACTTAAATAGGACCTGTCGGAAAAGGTGTTGTTAGCAACCCGTGCTTTCCTATTTCTACATATTAAGAAGCTTTTCTTATTTGAGACTAAGGAAGTCCTGTGTTCTGCAAACCAGGATTAACATACAATATCAGTTCCTGAGTGCTGAAGATGAGCAATACAAAATATGTAGGGTAAACTCAGAAAAGAACTGAGTTAGTTCCGTTCACAGATTCTGGTCTTCATGTACGGTCCAGGCATGGTTCTTCCTGACAAAGTACCCGCCTCCCAACCAAGAGGCGAGTTTACCGCACAGCTGTTTGCTCCCTTCTACTTTATGGGTATGAGACCTGGGTATTAAGAAGAGGATATTCCTAGGCTACTAGTTTATAAGAAGTACTGTTCTTGTATTTTGAGACCACGGAATAAACAATGCCTCTATAAGGAATGAAGTGCTAAGTAAAGATGGTAAATTTGTTAATACAGGACATGTTACGTATACCCGTCGACCGCTCACTTTCACTAACGATGTTTTCAGGTGTAGGCTGGAAGAAATATAAAAGCGGCTAAACCAAAACACGGCATCACTCCGTGAAGTCAGTGACAATTAGACTTATCCATGTTAATTGGTATAGACTACCTGGTTGGGTCCGCGTGATTGTCGTCACCAGTGATTAAGTACTTGGAATGGGATGGCTTAAAGTCACTTGTTAACGTCGTAGGTCCATCCTTTCTTTGTCTTCTTCCGAATTCTGAGATTCTAAGTCCCTCATGACATTTTTAGTTTTTATTTCACTAGATTATTTTCTCTCTAACTATGTGTTCTATGCTTAGACTATCCCATTACCACATACTGTTGCTACCTCTACTATTCTGGGAATTGACCCAACAACCGTTTCTGTGCTAATGGGGTATGGCAACTTTGACCGACGTAAATACTAATCAGGTTCTATGTTGTGACTGACCGTCAAATTTAGTATATTAATATTAGGTCATCAATCAACTGCAGTCGGGATGATTACGTATGACTAGATTAACAGAGTTTAGATTTACCCTAAACTTCATAAGAAATATTAAACTGAGGAAATATAATGACAGCGTTAAATAAATTTCATTAACAGGACAATATGCATGAGCTGTATATAGTAGTATAAGTACTGATGTTTAATTCTCCATTTTTCGGACGTTAGCTTTCAATTATTTGTCTTTAATTTTCTTGTCTAGTTCGTTTCATAATGCTGATGCTATTATTTGCTTACTTATTTGAATACAACATTTGTACGAGGTGGCACCAAATACATATGCGCCACACAATTACAGTGAGGCCAGTAGCGGTTGTCATTGATTTGTGTGAGGGCTGTGATACTGTCCGGGTGCAAAAACCAAAGCAGGTGGTTTTCTTAGGGGGACATACCCCATTGCACCGATTAAGTCATGTGTAATGTCCTTGAATTGTCAACTTTGTCTAGTGTTAGAACCATTCCCAGAATTAATAGACATACGTACTTTCCAAATATTTCATATTGCGTAATTAAACTTGTGGACAAGCACTTCGCGAATACAAAACAATGGATGTTTTACCCCAAAGAGTCGTTCTTGGATTTACTCTGCTTCTGGGACAAAGTTGTAAATAGTGATTACACAGTTATCACCATCCGATTTTTCGTTGAACTTTCTTCAAAAGGTTCTTTGATATGTTTATGGTTTTTATCAGTAATAGCACCCTTGATTTTTCTTGAATTTAGCTGGAACCTCTTGTTCTTCGTCCACCTGTTGGGTCGGAAGTTTATGGATCACCTCCATCAAGACGTACTAGTCGTAGCCGTCCTTTCATATTGGGTTCATTATTCGTCTTGTTCACATTGTTAATGATTGCTAGTGTATTTCTGCTGCTATACATCCTTGGTTATAGACCGTTAACTTCACTTAATCATAAAGCAAATGCACACAGATCAATTTGTCGCATTCGTATTCCATTTTTAAAAATAGATCCTGTAGAATCTATTACGACAGATGATAATTTCCTCAATGTTACACTATCTGAAGTACCTTACTACAATGTGATTCGTATTTTGCATCTGTTCTCTGAGGGCTTGACAGTGATTAGAACAAATAAGCATTGCTACATTAGACCGTTGAGAGCTGAATTAAGAGGATCTGGAATTGAAGATTATCTGCGTCGACTAAATGTAAGTTTCTTCTAATTTTTGTGAAGTTGAAACCATTTTGTTTGTACCTTTTCTATCGACCCAACTACTGTTTAACATTGCTACTCATCCGCTTAGACTACGGTAGACGAATTACATTTCAGGCCCTGACGAGCCAATACTTATTTATTTTATTTATTTGGACACATGAATATTGGTACAAGAGAGCGCCAATATATATGCGCCACACAGAACAATGAATATTCGAAGAGGAATACAAAGAAAGAAAAAAAAGCTAAGGAGCGCAACAAAAAAAGAGAGAACAATAACGAAGAGATTGGTGTAAGGTAATGTGCTAGTAAACAGAGAACGCAAAGGTACAATCGGAAGAAATCTTTCAGGTAAGGGAGACACAACCACTTTTTATGAAGAAAGTAAAAGAAGGTTACAGCATGATCGCCACTGGCTTCTATTCTGAGCCATATCTGATAACGTCTCTAGCCACTGTGTAGCACCATCTCTCGGACCCCAACCAGGGAGTCGTGAAGGACCGACACAAGCCAGCCCTTTGCAGCTTTCTTTCATACCACGACACCATGTCATGCACTGACCACCTCTCCGCATCTTCCAACCAGTCCCAGAGTCGGCAAATAATGCACGACGTGGAATTCTCTGGGACGACATTCGTAGAACATGTCCAAGCCACCGAAGTCGGTGTTTCAAGATGGTGACATCGATTGCATTATCATCTCTGTGCCCGAACACACGATGCCGAACCTCTGCATTACTAACATGGTGTTGCCACTGAATGTCAGTAATCCTTCGGAGACAGCGATGATCGAACACAGAGTCGTCTAACGTCCTCAACTCGGAGAGACCAGGTTTCACAAGCATAGAGCAAAGCTGCTCTCACCGACGCGTTGTAGATCCGACCTTTTACGGCCAGACTAACATCACGAAGGCGCCATAGATGGCCCAGATTAGTATAAGCCGCTCTGGCTTTCACTATTCGTGCATTGATCTCATCACTCACACGCCCACCAGCACTTATGCAGCTACCCAGATACACGAACTTCTCAACTACGTCTATCTGCTCACCGTCCAGGGTGAGTACAGGATTAGAATCCTGCCAGTCTTGTAGAAGTACTTTGCACTTCGAAGGTGCAAAGCACATACCATACCTACGGACACTGATTGCCAACTGATTAAGTGCGGATTGCATGCCTTGGGCATTATCGCACAGTAAGACAATATCGTCCGCATACTCAAGGTCGAGAAGTCTTTCTCCAGGCAACAGATCCACACCACCATTACTTACATTCATCAGAGCTGTTTCCAGAATGTCATCGATGGCAAAGTTGAAGAGGAATGGTGAGATTGGGCAACCCTGCCTAACCCCACTGCTCGAATGGAACAATGGAGAGAGGTGGTTGTATGCCCTCACTCTGTCTGAGGTGTTTGTATATAGGGCTTTTAGGATGTTAATAAACTTCTCAGGCACACCCTTCTTCAATAGACAATCCCAGAGAACAGTCCTGTCGAACGAATCGAAGGCAGCCCTGATGTCAAGAAACACTACGATTGTTGGCCTTTGATAAGAATGGCGATGTTCTAACATTTGGCGGAGGGTGAAGATATGATCAATACATCCTCGACCAGAACGAAACCCAGCCTGCTCCTCGCGAGTCAATCTTTCTCGAGTTTTGAACAACCTACGAAGTATGACGGAAGCCAATAGCTTGGAGGCAATCGGAAGTAGACTTATCCCCCGATAGTTGTTACAGGAACGACGTGAACCCTTTTTAAAGATAGGGACAACTATCGACTCATTCCATGACGTTGCTACACTCTCTAGTTCCCAAACCTTTGTAAACAACGTCGTCAATTCCTTAGTCAAAAAGTCACCACCATCTTTAAAAGGAGCCGGAGGTAAGTCATCTGGGCCAGGTGATTTGTAACGCTTCAAGAGTTGGAGTTCCTTGCGGACTTCCTCCTCGTTCGGTGGATCAGTCGTCACCGGCCATGGAGGGCAGGACAGTCTGACCGATAAAACTGCTTCAGTACTCATATTCGATGGTAACATACAATTTTCGACCGGACAGTGACTCGAGAACGTTTAGATACAGTCGGATTTCCACCAAAGACGAGCGGCTGTATAAGTATAAAAGAGGGTGAATCATGTGGAAAATAATAATAATAATAATAATAATAATAATAATAATAATAATAATAATAATAATGACAATAATAGTAATGATAATTATTTGAATCGATTGATTGTTTTTCGGAGCGAGAAAAGTAGTTGCCATAGACATAGAGTTCATCGTTTGTGTGTGGGCTGTGATACTGCCCGGGTGCCCAAACCAGGGCAGGTGGTTTTCTTGGGAGGCCACTCCCCGAGCCTTTGACCTAAAGGTCTAACCCACAAGGCAGTGGAGCATCGTAAGGAGATGCAATCCCATGGTAGCCGGTGACCAAAGATTGGTTCATACGCCATTTGTTCCCGTAGGGTACTGGAGCCCATGTGCACCATTGGTTTGTGATCCGGTTAAAGCGCCGGACATTCGCTTTTCGTCCTCTCATTTTCGTAAACAACACCCCCGCCACGAGAAGGCAATGAGTAGGACTTCCCTGGCAGAGGCTGTATACGCGCGGCCGTGTGAGAGTATTTCGAGAGGGAGAGCGGACTCACCTCACTCTCGACCGTACCAGGGCATTCGGGGGCGCCAATACTTATGCTACTTACCCATCCAACTTCCTATCTGTTTATGTAAGAGTATAAGTTCAACATTCGCCAAAATATAACAACAAGACTTCGAAACAATCATAATATACTGGAACTAATAAATTTCCTCGGTATGACCTATAATACATTACAGACTACGGTGGAATATAGCGATTAAAAACTTCAAATGTTTATTTTTACGTTACGAAATTCTGAAATTCAACTTAGGTAAAGGCTGACGTCCAGTTTGATACGTTAGTGCGCTAAGCTAGTAATTCGCTACTCCGACCAGTACTATGGACAAAACTATTTCGATTCTCTTCTTTTGCCTGCTCCCATTAACTCGAGTACAAACACCAGTTTGGTAGATCATGCTTATTGGTGTTTGTCACCATAATTAATCTAAGTACATTAAGCTTATCGACTGTATATCAATAAAAATGATTGAGGGAGATTGATTATGAATACAGTGGTCTTGATGGCGGTTACCACTTCACGGCTACCCACACCGTGAAAGGGTTCTTCTAAAGGTACTTGAAAAGGAAATAGGATTAAAGGTGGTCTTAGTGACCGCAGTGCCCAAGAGACATCTGCTTGAGGTCGGTCACACACAACCTTTTTATGGGTAGTTTTTGTGTTAGCTCCGTCCTTGTTGAGACCTTACTGCCGGAGACGGATATCCGTGGGATAAGGCGAGTTGTGCATTTTAGGGTCGACATATTCTAACCCCACTCCTCCTTGTGGGAAGGCAGCATCGCTGTCATGCTGGTTGTCTGAAGGAAACACCTTACTGCTGTCGCACCTCTGTACAGTCAGCAGTACGACTTCGGACCTTGGGTTTGTTGCTTTTAGTCTTACCGCTCTTCAACCGACCTGTCTGACATGGTAGGACCTTGAGGAACAGTTGTTTCAGCCAGTATATCCCTATTGGTTCATCGCAATAGGCAAGCCCGACCACTAAGTCAAGGTAGCAACACGGGATAAAAAATGGTTTGAATATTTAGACTGAGTATTTGTCATCAACAAAAGTCATCGTAAAAATAAATTGGGATTTCATGAAGTGTTCGCACTGAATTGTTTACTGTAACAGAATTTCGACCTATTCCATTTAGATTTCTTGTCAGCTGTCATTTGAGGTTGCTCATCCCTAATTCAGTTATTAGAGAAAAAAACATTCAAACCTATACGACTACGGTTCTATGTAAATACTAGAATTGTTTATTTATGAAAAATAAGTCAATGATCGTACATTCTCTAAAACAGTTCCACAGATCTCCAATAAATTATTAGAAACATGGAGAATAATTTACTGTCTCATTACACAGTAGGGACGGAATGTAGGCCTAAACTCGAAACAGACTACTACAACAATCAATCGGTTATTCGTTACGACATATCTTCCGTTACTTCAAAGTATAGTTATCAAGACAGAAAAATCACCCCTGTCTTTGAAGGTTTTTGAAGCTTGCAGGTCGTCGGGTATTATTTGTTATCGAGTATTATCATTGTCATTATTATTATTATTATTATTATTATTATTACTATTATTATTATTATTATTATTATTATTATTATTATTATTATTATTATTATTATTATTATCGTTATCATTTTTTATCATTATTATCATCTAGCCTCTAACCAGAATGGTTACTCTTGTCTAAGTTACTGTTTTACGCAAGATGATAATGTAGCAAGAGGAAGTAACCAATTGTTTAACTTATTTTATTGTTGTCGTTGCTTTGTTGATCATGATCCCAGTAGAATCGAAAATTCACTTACATTAATCTGTTACATATTGGTTACATTGATTCGGATTTACAAACTGATTAGTTGTCACTTGACATATCTTAGTAAAAATAAATTGATAGTTCACAAAGTATTGCAACGAGATGCGTTGAAAGTTGACCTCATATCTATCTTAATTCGATATTGATTTCATTTCTCGTAAGTTGTATTTGAGGATTTCACACCCCCAACAATTGCAGAAAATCTTAAACATTACTGGTAGGTGTAGACCACCTGGTTGGGACCCGCGAGACGATAGCAACCGATGGTTAGAGACCTTGAATGACATGGATCAAAATCGTTTGCAATAGCGCAGGTGCATCCACTCATTGTGTTCTCCCAAATTCTTCTGAATTCTTCACGTCCTTTATTTTCTTTCTAAATTTATTTCACTGGATTATACTCCTCGATTAACATCTTCAAACCCTAATATTTCCGATTACTGATTATACTTTGACTACCTCTACCACAATGGGATTTGAATCGACAATTGTATCTGTGTGCTAATGTGGTATGGTAACTGGAACTGATGTACGTACGTACGAAGTTCCATGTTGTTACTGACTGACTGACTAGGTAACTCATCGAGATTGATAACACCAAATGATGTTCGTTAGGGCTATCCACTTTACTTATTTTTATTTAGCTTTGTCATGGACATTGTCCACCGAGTTAGTAGTCCTGAGGTTAGTTAGACGCAAGGATGACAAATCAGTTGATAATGTTGCAAATCATTATCCACCAAGGTGGTTGGAATGTGTGTTAAGTTATGCCCAACAGCCGTATACCTCGATGTGGGATATAGGATGGTGTAGAAGTAGATTAGAAAAAGGCTAGAGTTGTCCAAGATATACACGGTGTAAGCCCGTGAGACCATCGAAGTTGAATTGAGCTATGTAGATAGGTATAGCCTACACAGTTGGTGTACACACGATTATCTTCAATTGCTAGAAAATTTGGATGACGTGGCTCAGAGTTTGTCACAATGCATTCATTCACTCCTTACCTTTTCTTAGGTCCTAAGTTTCGGAGTTTTTTCATGCTCTTTTATTTCGTGAATTCATATCTCTCTTGAATGATATGGTCTACATTTAATATTTTTCACAACTGATATTATTACTACTTCTATTCTAGCACCTCACTGTACCGATGTGGTATAGCAAATTGAACAGATGCTAAAATATGCCAGGTCCAACGCCGGACGTGACTTAATAAATCAACATACATACAGGTATAAATTTAATGTGCAGATCAATAATAAAAGCTCCAAACAACTTCGAAATTATAAATGGGAAGATTAGAGCAACGAGTTACAATGTATATGCATCCAATAGTAGGACAGCTGCTAATAAAAGGTTGATAATCGTTAAAACTAATTTCTCTTAAAAGTTTGTAAATATAATGCCCGGAACTGATTTAAATCAAGCTACCATATAGTATAATTATTACACAATGAGGAGTTCTGCCTACTTTATTGGTCATTTGTTTTCAAAGAAAAAACCACCACCCAGTGTTAACAGACGATATAACACAACAGTGTTTTTCTTGAGTTACACATGGTTGGTAATTACGATATTCTTTACTAATTTGAGAAAGGATGACAGATATTATTCGTTATAAGTTACTCTCTCTGTTTTTAATGTGTCTCATCTCGCTTAGCTAACAGCAGTTTGATTGAATATCGGTAATAAAACGTGTGATTTTAATCCAGTTTATCATTATACATAACACCTATCTTCTCTCAACTTCAAATTTGTGAAATTAGGATGGAAATGACTTAAAGGATTCGGTGGAGGGTTATCCTGTTACAGAGCCTTGGTATATAGATAGAGATCCATATAATACTATTCATAATTCATTGATTATGTCATGGTGTGCTGGTGTACCAGCCTTTCGTCTAGTCTCAACAAGACCTCCAATAAGTGAATATAAAGGAGATATAATGCCTGCTGTAAGTTTTTTTCTAAATTAAAAATGTTCGTTGTATGTAGATTATTATTATTATTATTATTATTATTATTATTATTATTATTATTATTATTATTACTGTTATTATTATCTGAGACCATTCTATGCAAATGCGAAGTTTTGAGTTAGCTAGGAAAGAAAGAAAACAAAGAATTATTTGTCGTACATATTTTTGAATCCACCTACTGTTCATATAAAACACGGAAAGCTTGGATATGGTAATGACTTTTGCATTCTGATTTTTAGTAATATAGAGGGATGTTTTAGATCATTTACACGTTTACAGCTCTTAATCCCACCTAGAAATTTGTAACTCAAAAACGAATTCCTATACAAAAAGTATACACATGAACAGCAACCAGACTAAAGTAATCTTTAAAACGATGTCTCCATTGGTTGCGATCATAAAAAAATTCATGACCAAACGTCACAACAGGCACCATATCAAACTTACCGAGAATTATGGATATAGAGTATGTTCCCTTCAAAACCAAAGGGTTGGACAACTCCAATCTTTGTAAACCAAATATAAGTGCTGTTATGTAACGTGGATTGTACTATTTGGTAGGTTGCGTTGTGAATTCCAATTTATGCAACTTGGTCGGTCCCACGCAACTTCCACCAATGCTCGAGCGTATGTCTAGACACGCAGCCATGCTGCACCTCCAAAAAATTATTAGTACAGATATGTATTTCAGTTACAGTTTCTTCTCAGGTTCTCGAAAAGTTCCATGTATGCTTATAATACTTCTGAACACATCGGTGGCATACTATGTGCTATTTTAGCAACCTATATATTATAATACAAGAACATGTTAATATCTCTAGAGTCACAGCGTCTCTTCGAGATTATTTCTATTATATCATCTACGGTAAGTAGAAAAAGTGATTGACGATTATCCATGTACTTAGCTATTTTGTTCGATAAGTTGCTCACTTGATGGGAAAATATAGACCAAATGTCACCAATCACAGAAGGTCGACAGAGGTATATCGCTTCTTCTAAAGCTTACATTTTAGCTGTGATCATGCTTCAGTGTGCGGATTAGTGTATGTTAGCGCCTCGGTAAAAGCAAGGAAATCTCAGCAGGAAACTCTCTCCAAATATAGCTGGAAAATGGAAATGTCGAGAGTGTACTGAAAAAATCTCGTCAGGTGCTTGAAGTATATTCAAAAGTAACTTAGTGTGATGTCTAATCTGCTTCAAAAGCAACATTGATAAAACTCCAAAAGATGGTTAATAAAGGACAAGAGAAAAACTATGCCCGCATTTTGTAACTGTTGAAATCTCGTAAACTAACAACTTACAAGTCCTTATATAACTCCCAAGACATCAACGCTCAAGTACTTACTCCTGTATAGTCAGACTAGGCACTGACATACATCAGTTCGAAAACAACATTTTACGTTTATATAGGGATAATCCAGCCAACTACCAGAAGAAAGAGAAAGGGTGAGAGTAAACAGATTTATCTGACACCGGTTCCTACTTGGAATGTATCTGTCAGATATCCTCCATCCATAACTTTGCAGCGTAGTCGACCGTATGAATTCCGGATTGTGTTACTGATCTTCTCAGCTACTCACTTTATGGTTTTGAAGAAGGTTCAATAAGGTTCACTCGTCCACATAGTGAAACGCCTCATAATCACGGAAGTGGATGTATAGTGTCAAGTTCTATTCAATTGATTGTTCAACGATGATCCGTAGTGTGGCGACCGATCCTTACGACATCCGACCTGTTGATTTGAGGCGGGACGTCTACTAAATGTTTCATCCGGTTCAGCAACACTGTTGAAAATCTTTCCTGGTACCGATAGTAGTGTGGTGCCTTTGTAGTTGTTCCATATTTCTACTTGCAAGTTTTTCCACTGTCGTTGCTAGGTCTTCCACACTTTTCTGCTTGTCAGCTCTAATGCTCCTCTTCACTTGTTTGTTTGCTTTTGTGTATTCAGCTTGTGCCTTGACATTCTCTATTCTTGTTCGACTGTTGTTGACTGCTGTCTTCTTGTTCTGCCTTTCTTGAACCATGATAAGGGTTTTCATAGAGATTCATTCCTTATAATGATACTTGTTGCGGTCCAGAACCTCCTGACACGTTGAATTTAATGCTTCTTTGGTCCCTTTCAAGTTGTCCTCCATAGCAGTTTCTTCTTTCAGTAGATCTTCTAAGACTTGGAATCTGTTGTTGCGAGTTATCTTTGATTGTTTGAGTTTGTCACTGTGTCGAAGGAAGAGTGTATTGAACTTTTGTAATGCTGTTTGTATAGTTGTCTAATGCTTCTTCAGCTTCAGTTTCATCTTGGCAGCCACCAGTTGATGGTGACCTGCAGCTATATACGATCCCCTCCTGGTTCTCACGTCCTCCATTGACCTTCTTTATCGTCTTCATTGCTATCATTGGTGGGTTTATAACATTGGATAACATTCATTGTGATTCCCTCATTTTTTGTTTTGAAAGATGCTTTGATGATTCTGGGTCTATGAGATTCCCATCCAATGAGTACTTTTCGTGCTTCTTCCGACAGCATCAGAGCAACTCACTGAGTGTGTGGAGCACTTTCTTCGTGACCAGACAGCATCAGTACAGCAGGATCTCTCCCTAATCTATCTTTTTCTGTCCAGCTTGGTCCAATGTGTTTAACTTATTCTGGGAACCACCGGGTAGTTTTTTCATTTCGGCAGCTATTTGTTTGGTCCTCCCGGTCCCCTACATTGTCTAAACATTCTATGTACCCATATTAATTGTTGCTCTGGTTGTTAGGAGACATCGGCCTTGTGGCTTCCGAGGAATATTAGCTTTCAAATGAGGCGTCATAATTCTTCCTTCAACTTGTAGTGCAGAGTTTAATTGTTTTAATTTGTTTATTTTGGTTAGCGTGTTTTAGCAAGGTTATTTTCTATGGGGTGGGGATACTGACTCCACACCCAACCCTCCTCCTTTACCCGGTCTTAAGCCCGGGTAACAGGAGTAAGTAATGAGTGAGAAGCCGTTATCAGTTGAGCTAATCTGTCTCGGGTGTGAAGCAGTTACCCACCGAAGACTATTTAAGATAGTCGCTCAATGTCGTAGACTGACAGATGTTAAACATTAACATCGTTGGAAGCTAGCTCAGTGGTCTAGAGGTCAAGCGTTCGCTCGCTAAACCGAATATCCCGAACTCGATTTACGCGGGCGGGGCTGTGGTTGCACACTGCTAAGGAGCTTCTAAAACTCAATGCCGTTCAGTGTTTTCAGGTTTTCGATGGTTGTTAAACTTAGGGTTGTTCACGATTTCAGTGAAATTGAATAATCTCCACAATCCCATCCTAAAATTCCTATTAGTGTTGTTATAATATCTCTGCCTCGATAGTTGGAGCATTTTCGTTCCATCAACCCTCCGTACGGTGAAACATTTTCCGACATTGCGGTCATATGTAAAAACCAGAAAAGTGATCAATCTATGACAGTGGTATGGAATATCAAACCGCCCGATCTGGGCATCCGGGCAGTATCACAGCCCTCACACAAATCGAATGATTTATGTGGCTCATTATCTATTTGGTAGTCCATCATGATCCCTTTTGCAAGGTGTTAAAGATTGTGCAATTTGCCAGTCATGGTTCAAAATTAAATTTGGCGGTAATCGCTGGATTAGGTTTTTGTTATATCTCGTGAATGAGAACACGGACGATCTTTATCAAACAAAATCTACCTCTATTGTTTTCTTTTGCATTTTTCCTCAATTTTATTTTATTTTACTATTTAGATGCCAGATGAATCAATGAAACCGGGCAATCCAGATCCATTCGTAGGTGATTATGATAACAGTGATCAGGCAGATATTCTGCGTATCCTTCTACCTGGTTAGTCTTTGAATATAAAATCTTCATTATTTTTTCCTGAATTAGTATTTCTTGATTCTTATGTTGATCCTTCATTTCTGTAAACTAGATTAAATTGACAAACGTCCACTTTCATCTCTCCTTTTTTCGTAAACATCACCACATAAAAGCAGTGGGTAGAACTTGTCTAGAAGAGGCTATAAACCCTCAGCCATACGATAACTTTGGGAGAGAGAGAGAAAATTGGATTTATATCGAATATCGTACCAGGGTACTTGGGGACAAGAACCAGATAAAGAATCTATAAATGCAGTGGTTGTTTTATTCAACTTTTGTAACTCATTTCCATGCACAGATTTTTGTACTTTGTCTCTAAGACACTTTTACTACGACACTCAGTAATACCACCCATCTAAAACTTGATGTATCAACAGTTGAAACCCTAAGTATCTTAATCACTTAGTTACTGTGCCAACCTGAAAAGAACAATAATAATAACAACAACTTACCAATACTCCACAGTAGAAACAAATAACAATTCTATCTATCTATTTTCCGATTGTCTAATTGATGTTAGGCATTGTCAAATCATTTTGTACAATTAATTTATAAAATAGTGTACAAACATTAGAGATTATTAAAATCCAACATGATGTATGATAAATATTGATATTTTATGTTTATACCCTATTTCTATTTAGTTACTATGCATTGTAACGTGTCGACTGCCGATTAGATGTGCAGCATATTTATCGACCGGATCAATGACACGTAAAACACGCACGAACGACCTAGAGTCCCGATTGGCCCTGTTTCGCTGTCTAGCCCAGCCAGTTGAGTCCAGAACACAAGTCACAGCCTCTGAGACATGAATCGTTTATATACCAACCAAACAGACCATATCGTACCATAAAAATAGAAAACAACATTTATGCAATATTTAACAAATGAAATAAATATTGACCAATAGGGAATGTCCATTTAAAGTCCAAGGGGGCACTATTAGACTTAACATGATAATGATTGGTGTATTTTTCCGAGTATCCCAACACTATGTAATCTATTGACTATTTAATGTCATTACATATTAATTTGTGTAAATATTTTCGAATTATATATTATTGTTCATTATTCAATATTAATAATTATTATGAATGAATGATTTGATTATAATATAAGGAGTATAAAAATTTAATTAATTTTATATATAACATAGAGACAATTTATAATGATGAATCATTCTAAATCAGCATAATGGGCAAAATACTGAATTTTCCAATTTGATTTCTATTTAATATTGAATATGTACCATGATGCACAATGCTGATTAGTTTTGGAGATGGCTGGAAGAAAGTTAGTGGTGGTCAAACCAAAACGTGGCATCAGTGCTTGAAGTCACTCACTTCTAGTCTAAGCCATGTTGGTAGATACAGATTATTTGGTTGGGGTCCGCGTGACTATCGTAATCAATGGTTTGAGACTATGGGTGACATGACTCAGAATCGATCACAATGGCGTCGGTGTATACACTCCCTGTCTTTCCTTAAACTAAGAGATTAAAATCGATTCATATCTTTCTTTTTAGGAACTAATTCTTTTTTCCTGTACTATATCCTTATATGCAATGTTTCTTTTATATATTACACCATTGAGTTAACTACTTCTATGAATTCGGTGTTCATTTTGTTGTGCTAATGCGGTATGGCAACTTGGACCGATGCACACATGTGCCTGGTCTTAAGTTGTAGCTGACTGACCAGACACATCTCTTTCAGTATTGAAAAAAGGATATATAATAGCTACAATTAATAGTGTTAAAAACAACTTATGGAAGAATAGAACAACGATAGCATAACTTTTGTATTGGTTTAATGTTTAACTACTTATTTTCCAACTTATGTTTCATACTCTTCAATAGTGAAGTCATGACATGAAGTAGGCCTAAGATAGAGATATTATTTCATGACTAAAGTGTGATTTATGCACCGTTTTGGTTGATGAAATTTTATACGATCTCATTTTACGAATTAAGTTAATTTTCCTACTTCATTGTAATTTGTGTCTTCTTTCTATAACGCTAGATCGTGAAAATATTCGTCGAGTACGTAGTGTGGACTTGACCCCAGAGATGCCAGATAAATCAAGAAAATTAACGAAATCAGGTAAGCAATCTCTTTATTCTTACAATTTTTTAAGATTAGATATTAATTCATGCTGGTTTTTACTAATGTAGGCATTTGGTCCCATTTGAGAGCATTGTTTTTTCCCAAGGTATTTCAAAGTAATAATGACGTGAAAAAGATACTCTAAGCCCAACCAGAAATAGTTATTTTTTGTTACATATACGCTAGATAGACTGTTTTTTTTGATGTTTCAGCATGTGACAAAATGAAGTTTCCACCTTCTGCAATTCCTAGTTATAAGCACTCGGGATTCTTCTCATGCACATGGAAACCAATGAGAACTCGATGGATCGAGTGACTAATACAACACTTCGGTAATAATCTTCAATATGATGGAAGACAGGAGAAAGTGATAAGGTCAGGAAAACTTAGAGGAACAAGCATGAACTAGAATAACTCTCGATATTTAGTTGCAAGACGTGACCTTATGACAAGTAAAACTAGTAAACTAGAAGTGAGCAACCCATCAAATAACAACGAAGATCATCAGGAAATCATATGGTTTATTTCGGTTGTGTCATATAATTTCATGGATTCTGTATCTGTTTTTCGTTTTGTTTATTACCATTTTAGACAGTTCCAAATGTGAAATTGTAGATGTTCTTCTAGAAGATGCCACAATCACATCAACACGTGATAATCATCCTGTGTCAGTGCTACGTGATGTAATCATGTCTTGTTCTTAAATTCTAATCAAGACAAAGAAGTCATGCTCTAAGTTTTGGAAATCAATCTGCTTATTACATTTTTTTTGTTCTCTCTTCGTATAGCATGAATTGCTTATCTTTTTGATTTGGAAACTTACTCATTTGATGACATTGACATGAACACAGTTGATTTTGATTACTGAACTACTGTAATCAATCATGAATTGCATTTCTACTGGCGATAATAATAACAATAATAATGATTGATTTCTTGAATACATTATTGGATTGATCATTTATTGTTTGTCGTTTATATTCGTATAATAATAATCATATATTCATCAGTAACATTATTATTGTTGTTTTTTCAATTATACTACTTATAATGTTATAATAGTAGACATACATACCTACGTATGAACATTTGCATTTCTAATCATTATTATCATTTCTTTAATGGTATTTTTTAATAATCATTCATATATACACCTAATCATGGTAGTAAACAACGACGATGATGATGATGATTATATGTTTTATTAATAAAGCACAATAAGAATTCAATTCATAATTGTGTAATAATTAACATTCTTTATTATTATTTATTTATTTGGACACATGAATATTGGTACAGGAGAGCGCCAATATATATGCGCCACACAAAACAATTAAAATTCGAAAGGAATACAAAGAAAGAAAAAAAAGCTAAGGAGCGCAACAAAAAAAAGAGAGAACAATAACGAAGAGATTGGTGTAAGGTAATGTGCTAGTAAACAGGGAACGCAAAGGTACAATCGGAAGTATGACGGAAGCCAATAGCTTCGACGCAATCGGAAGTAGACTTATCCCCCGATAGTTGTTGCAGGAACGATGCAAACCCTTTTTAAAGATAGGGACAACTATCGACTCATTCCATGACGTTGCTACACTCTCTAGTTCCCAAACCTTTGTAAACAACGTCGTCAATTCCTTAGTCAAAAAGTCACCACCATCTTTAAAAGGAGCCGGAGGTAAGTCATCTGGGCCAGGTGATTTGTAACGCTTCAAGAGTTGGAGTTCCTTGCGGACTTCCTCCTCGTTTGGTGGATCAGTCGTCACCGGCCATGGAGGGCAGGACAGTCTGACCGATGTTGCCGGAGCAGCAGGCCAGTTGAACTGCCCTTCGAAAAATTTTGCCCACCGTCCAAGACGTCGATGGATGTTAGTGATTGGCATCCCGTCATCCTCGCAGATTGTTTCACTTACACCAGACTTCTTGCTGCCAGTGGCTCGGATGGGCTGGAAAAGCTTCCGGTAATTACCAGATGCAGCTGCTGCTTCCAGCTCATTAGCACGCTTCGACCACCAGGCTTCTCGGTCCTTACGCAAGCTTTGCCCAGTTTCCTTACGTAACATCCTTCGTTTATGGTCAAACTCACGGTCACCCGGAGTAGACCGACGGGCTTCAATGAGTTGTAAGGAACCAGAAGAAACCCTGTGCTTATAAGCGGGACGTTTCGCAAACCCACAACTGACTGTTCCCGCCATTTTCATGGCGTCATGCAATTGCAACCAATGCTCATCTATACTTTTCGGTGGAGTGGTAGCTAGCCTAGAGGCTAGCTCGGTTCGATACTTATTTGCAACAGAAGTTGCAACCAGCTTGCTAACATCAATTCGTTGGTGGCGGTCACTTCGTTGTCCACTGAAAAGTAAGGCAAGTTTGGCGCAGACCATGGCATGGTCAGAGTCCAGTTAGGTACTCCAAAAGGAGCGGCAGTCTTGTACACAACCACTCCAGCGGTAGCTGATCGCAATGTGATCAATCTGAGTCCAGGCTTGGGATGCAGAGGTAGGACGCCAGGTGGCACATCGGCGATGACTGTGCCGAAAGTTAGTGCTAGCCAGAAACAGGTTGTGGTCTGTGCACAGTTGCAGTAGACTGTCCCCGTTATCTGACCTGCGACCAACGAGTCCCCATCGGCCACCTAAACGACTCTCTTCTGTGCCTAGACGCCCGACCTGAGCATTCAAGTCTCCGGCTAGTACTACAATATCTGTCGAACGCACTTTCTGGAGAAGAACAGATAACTGGTGGTAAAACTCATTCTTGATTGCATCCGGGCTGCAATCTGTCGGGGCATAGGCGGAGATGACGAAAAGACATCGTTTCTCACGCCGATTTCTTCTCACTTTGATGGAACTTTCTAATCTAACAGCACATAACCGACTGTTAATGGGGATCCAATCGACTAGTGCTGCCTCAGCTCTAGCGCTTAGTGCGACACCAACGCCAGCAAGACCAGACGAAGATGCCACAGGGTCCCCGGATAAGCGCACGTAAAACAAGCTTTTTGAAGTGACAGATGTAAAGCGAATTAGTAGTACTTCGCTAGAGTCTTGAATACGGGTCTCGGATCGACAACAAACATCAATATTAAGACTTTCCAAAGACATAGCCAGCCCTATCTGTTGACCAACCTGCATAAGCGTGCGAACGTTGAAGGCAGCCAGTTTGAATGGCGAACGTGGTTTCAGAAAAACTGCTTCAGTACTCATATTCGGTGGTAACACAACTTTCAACCGGACAGTGACACGAGAACGTTTAGATACAGTCGGATTTCCACCAAAGACGAGCGGCTGTATAAGTATAAAAGAGGGTGAATCATGTGGAAAATAATAATAATAATGACAATAATAGTAATGATAATTATTTGAATCGATTGATTGTTTTTCGGAGCGAGAAAAGTAGTTGCCATAGACATAGAGTTCATCGTTTGTGTGTGGGCTGTGATACTGCCCGGGTGCCCAAACCGAAGCAGGTGGTTTTCTTAGGGGGCCACTCCCCGAGCCTTTGACCTAAAGGTCTAACCCACAAGGCAGTGGAGCATCGTAAGGAGATGCAATCCCATGGTAGCCGGTGACCAAAGATTGGTTCATACGCCATTTGTTCCCGTAGGGTACTGGAGCCCATGTGCACCATTGGTTTGTGATCCGGTTAAAGCGCCGGACATTCGCTTTTCGTCCTCTCATTTTCGTAAACAACACCCCCGCCACGAGAAGGCAATGAGTAGGACTTCCCTGGCAGAGGCTGTATACGCGCGGCCGTGTGAGAGTATTTCGAGAGGGAGAGCGGACTCACCCCACTCTCGACCGTACCAGAGCATTCGGGGGCAATTAACATTCAATATAACATTATTCGTAGTATAATTATGTAGAATTTTCATTTCGTAGTTATTCGAATTTCTATCATTAACATTCATTGGTGAGAGTTATATCGAACGTATATAATATACAACCACATATTTACGTAATTCATCGCATGGAAACATTTTCTTCAATGGTATGGTATGAAGTTGTCTTCATTTTACATTCCTATATTATGACAATTTGCTCAACAACAACAACTCCGCCTGTAGCTCTTCTAGAGTTACTGCCGGTCCCAAGCCCAAGTAAAGGAGGAGGGTTGGGCAAGGGCATAGCCACCCCATCCCGTAGAAAACTAGCTCGTTAAAAAAACGCTTACCAGGAGAAATAATTCAAACCATTTAACCTCTGCCCTGGGAGTTAGCAGGTCTTCATTTAGAAGAACTATGACGCCTCATGGTGAAAGCCGAATTCCTTCGGAAGCCACGAGGCCGGTGGCACTTCTAACAACTAGAGCAACAATTTTTATAGGTACATGGAACGTCCGGACAATGTGGGAGACCAGTAAAATAGCAACTGAAATGAGGAGATACAACTTAGCAGTACTGGGAATCAGCGAAACCCACTGGACCCATGCTGGACAACAAAGGCTAAATACGGGAGGGATGCTACTATACTCCGGTCATGAAGAGGAAAATGCTCCGCACACTCAGGGAGTTGCTCTAATGCTGTCCAAACCGGCACAAAATGCACTTGTTGGATGGAAATCTCACGGACCCAGAATCATCAAAGCATCTTTCAAAACAAAGAAGGAGGGAATCACAATGAATATTATCCAATGTTATGCACCCGCCAATGATAGCAACGACGACATTAAAGATCAATCCTATGTGAGGCTGCAATCAATCATAGAGAAGTGCCCACGAAAGGACCTTACCATTCTGATGCTAGATCTAAACACCGAATGCGGGATAGACAACACCCGATATGAAGATATCATGGGACGACATGGATTGACTGGGAGAAACGAAAATGGGGAAAGATTTGCAAATGTGTATACATTCAACAAATTGGTCATAGGCTGCACAATATTTCCACACATACGTATACACTAAGCTACATGGATCTCAACAGACCACACCACAGAGAACCAGACAGATCATAATTGCATCAACAAAAAATTCCGAGGGACAATGGAAGATGTGAGAACCAGGAGAGGAGCGGACATAGCTTCAGATCACCACCTAATTTTGGCCAATTTAAAACTGAAGCTAAAAAAGAACTGGATAAACAGCACTACAAAGGTTCAATACAGCCTTCCTTCGAGATACTGACAAACTGAACGAATTCAAGATAGCTCTCAACAACAGATTCCAATTCTTACAGGATCTACTGAAGGAAGACGAAACTACTATGGAGGACAAATTAAAAGGTATCAAAGAAACATTAACTTCAACGTGTCAGGAGGTTCTGGGCCTCAAGAAGCATCATCATAGGTAATGGATCTCTATAGAAACACTGGACAGGATCAAAGAAAGGAAGAACAAGAAGACAGCAATTAACAACAGCCGAACACGAACAGAGAAAGTTCAAGCACAAGCTGAGTACATAGGAGCAAACAAGCAAGTGAAGAAAAGCATTAGAGCTGACAAGAAGAAATACGTGGAAGAACTAGCAACGACGGCGGAAAAAGCTGCTAGAGAAGGGAATATGAAACAACTTTACGATACAACGAAGAAACTATCAGGGAAATACAGTAAACCAGAGAGAACGGTCAAAGACAAAAAAGGCAAGCCAATCATTGAAATTCAACAACAGCGGAACAGATGGGTAGAATACTTCGAGGAACTCCTGAATAGGCCGGTTCCAATGAATCATCGGACATCGAAGCAGCACACACAGATCTTCGTATAGATGTCAATGCACCAATGACGGAAGAAATCAGAATGGCCATCAGACAAATCAAGAGCGGGAAAGCAGCGGGACCCGACAACATGCCAGCTGAAGCACTGAAATCAGCCATCGAAGTAACCACAAGCATGCCTTACCCTCTATTCAAAAAGATTTGGGATGAGGAACAAGTGCCAATGGACTGGAAAGTAGGACACCTCATCAAGATTCCAAAGAAAGGAGATCTGAGCAAATGTGAAAACTACTGAGGCATTACACTACTGTCAATACCAGGGAAAGTCTTCAACAGATTGTTGCTGAACCGGATGAAGGATGCAGTAGACGGCCAACCCCGAGATCAACAAGCTGGATTCCGTAAGGATCGGTCGTGCACAGACCAAATTGCAACACTACGGATCATCGTCGAACAATCGGTTGAGTGGAACTCGTCATTATACATCAACTTCATTGATTATGAAAAGGCATTCGACAGTGTAGATAGGAGGACATTATGGAAACTTCTTCGACATTACGGAGTTCTTGAGAAGATTGTCAATATTACCCGGAACTCA